TAAAGAGTGTGTATGTGAGTGTAAACTTCAGGCTAGAAAACTGTACAAATACAAACTCAGCCATGAAAAGCTACAGTAGTATGATGATTGATTAAATTTGAAGCTTCTTTTTCATTCTTCTCCCAACCCAAACCAGTGCATGCTGGCCTGTCACTTATCACATTGCTGTGGGCTGATAAGTGTCCCTCACTCATCACGTTGATGAGACAATGTCTCATGTCATATCCTCTGTTGGCTGGTCACACCTGCACCGTGGCCTCAGCAGAGGATAATACTTTCCCCTATTCTACTTCCTCTCTCCCCTTCTTGTAACTCTGACCTGCATCATCTCAGGAACCTGTCGGGGTATTTAGGTTCATGAGCAGCTGGCTTTGTGAGCAGTTTGTTTTTCTTATTTCACCACTCTGTACGGTTGAGGACTGACACGTGGTGAGTCATCTCTCCAGCCCATCCACAAGCACAAAGGAAGAGCCCGTCTTTCAACAGCTGCTTCAAACAGACAGCCCCACCAATTTACCAAAAGGGAATGTCTCTGAAAGCCTTTTAGAACAAGGTTTTGGCCAGTGTTTGTTTTACAAAGACATTCGCTAAGCTTGCATGTCCATTTGTTGCTTTATTTTGATGGATCAGACTCTGTACATAGTGTTTTAGCCTCAATATATACAGTAATAGCAGTATGTAATCTTGTAAGCATTGGGTGTAACTTTAAACATTATAATTGGTCTGTAACCTCTATCTTGTACACACCTCTTCCACATCCTATCACTCCTTCACCAACTCTGGGAGTCACCTTGGAGTATAACTGTCTGTAGAGAATGGTAATGAGGAAGCTGATTTAAAACAAATAACCAGTGTCTCCTCCTACTAAGCTCACACCAAGCATCCTGTCAGTTTGGCATGTCTGAGTTGTCAGGACAGCCCGACACGCCCCGGGACTATGTCCGCATTACATTAAACACAATCGCTTGACCCTAGCTGGCCCTATCCCCTGTAACACATCTACTTGAGCTGCTACAAGGTCCAACCCCCTCTTCATGTTCCCACCATGTAGGGGAACAGGGGGGAACAATCCCATTACATTACAGCAGGCCTAGAGCTGATCTAATGGAGAGAACATTAAAACCATGTCGCGTCCAGTCACTTACTTGATGGATCCTGAGAGAGAGGGACGAAGAGAAGGAGAGATGGAGAGGAGATGGAGTGTTGGAGAGAGGGGGAAGGGGTAGGAGGGTGTGGGGTTAGAAGTGGTGTCAATATGACAGTGGAAAGCTTGTGATGGTACCCTGGTGCCCTTGAGCAAACTGTCATTCAAACCACTTTAATTTCTTGACTTTGTCTCCTTGCCGACCTCCGTGCCACCGCACACAAGCATACTAAATACAGGAAGCAGTAATATAATTGAAAGTACATGTCAACAATTTTAGACTCGATAAAAAGCTGATTTTGTAATGGAAATTTGTGGCCTTGTTTCTGTAATAGCCAAGATCTGCCAAAGCTGGCTTCCTAGTTGTCAGAACAGTCTGAAACAGGCATGTTGGAAACCCACCATTTTGCAAAATGGAGCTGTGTATTGTTAGGGTGTATAATTAAGACCTCATTGTGACAGCCATTGAGAGAGAGCTAATAAGGGTTCTGATGTATTCCATATGAATATTGAATTTTTAATATTTTATGGCTTTCTAATTGCCCTGGTTGCTGTTAATGGCTTTGACTGTTGAATATTACCCAGACTGAATGTGTGGCATGTGTAAGTACCTTTTAAGCTAAGAGCTGAAATAAAATAGCTGCATTCTCAAGCCGAATTCTTTGCTTTATGATTGTCGCGTATGTATCTTTGGGGCAGATACATATCTTAACTGAAGGCATGTCTGTGACTGGGAATACATTTGAACCACTCTTTAACTCCCTTACTAAGATGAATGTATATATAATTACAAAGTATATCACACACACTACCTTGATATAGAGTTTAATGGCCGTATCGTTTCTTTGTGGAGCATGTCTGCTGGCCTTAATCTTCCCCACAGCTGACATCTTAATAACTCAGCCCTCTCCATCCATTTCCACGGGAGACATCCGGATGTTGGGGAAGGATTAGTTTAATGAATTTGACAATTAGTAGCAGAAGTTAATGACTGCATGGGGCTAAGTACCCTGATGGACATGGCTGGGGGGACTGAGGGCTTCCATTGCTCTGGGCCATAGATCCTCATTAATAGCTTTTCTGCCTACTGGAGAGGACAGGGGAAGCCAGGCCAGGCCTTTGTTTGTTCTGCCTCCGACGGGGTTGCTAGGGGGTTGCACTGTTGCACAAGGCCACACCAGATTTAGTCCCGCTCTGGGCACGAGTTAATGCAGGGCCTCAGGTCCTGGATCAGGTGAAGCTTCTTTTAATGAGCTAGGGTCATTAAACATTGAAAAAAGAAAAGTGACATGGAATCAGAGCAGGCAGGGAGCTCGCTCTTTGGATCTTGTGCCAACAGTCATGAAGAAAGAAAAGTGGCTTGGGGTCACAAGAGTCCTGATGACCTCTGCTTTGATTTATCTTTATGTTAGCTTCTTACCCGGATTCCACCTCTAATGTAGTCAAAACATCGTTTAACCAGATAGCTCTCATAAAGATTTTATTATTATTTATTATTATACTGTGCTTCATGAGCTACCTTGTCGCTTTGTCAGATATTCCCACTATAAACCATTTTGATAAATATTTCAGCTACTATAAAATCAAAGTTTGTCTTTTTTATGGCACCATGAATACACATGAAACAATTCCCATAAAAAACATCAATTCAGATTAATACATACATATACCACTTCTTCACAATAATTTATCCCACCTTTCCCACAGAGGATGAGAAACTATGTCTAGCATTTGGAAAATCGCATCCAGAGCAGCATTAGCCGCCCCCTCATTCCTGTCTGTCTCCTGGTGATAGCTATAATAGCGATGAAAACATAACTGCATCCAAAAATAATCATTTTCCAAAGCTGTTTGCCAAAGATCTACTAGCTAGAGTCTCCATTGAAAACAAGGCGATGTGTGAGAAATTTGTCTTGTGTTATCATTAGTGGCGAGTATGCCTGGGTATTATAAGGCTGCATGATGTAATGTAATGAGAGCCAGCGAAAAGAGAAGCTATTTAATTGGCCGAGGCTGAGTTGAACCTCAGAGGCCCAAGTACCATCAACAGAGAAGGGGAGTCAGAGAGATGGAAACACAAGACAAGGATGTTGTTTGCTGTTGCTCTGATGCTCTGTTATTCTGTCAGGCCAAGTCTAGTCCTGCCAAGTTTGAAACTAAGGGACCAAATTGGTGTTGATGTAGCGTACTCCTTTAACACTCTCATTCCAATCTTTTTTCCTCTTTCTCTCTGTCTCTCCTTATCCCCACTCTTTACCTCCTAATATGCCTCTTTAAGAAGTGACAGTTGTATTTAGGGAAAAGGTTATCATTGTATTAGAATAGAGTGCTAGCCCTGAGGCTTACCTAGAATTACATGACACTGCCTGCAGCCCCTTTCGCTCTGTGCTGGGCTGAAATGTTATCAGTCTGACTTAATTACTGTCACCGGGCAGTAGAATTGACTATCATGTATATTCCAGTGTTGGACACATTGGAGGGATATTAAAACTTGAGTACTGAATCCCAAGTTCTTAAGACCTCTTGATGTTTAACTTTGGGTCAAAGAGTAAAATTCTAGCTGTGTGTTTGTTTGTGTGTGTTTAGCTTCAGTTCTATACCTCCCATCCTCTGCTGCACCGTAAACACCACACACACACACACACACACACACACACACACACACACACACACCTCCATGTAGGCGTGCCAGCTAATCAGATAAAGGATGTGCTCTGTGTGTGTGTGTGTGTGTGTGTGTGTGTGTGTGTGTGTGTGAGAGTGTGAGAGAGAGGCACAGTGCGTTGCAGCGCAGCATCAGGCCCCAGGCAGGGCATGGATTTCATTTAGGAAAGTATCAAAGGTTTACACGCTGTTCGCTTTAATCAGCATGTTTATCAGGCAGAGAAAAATTGCAGGAAGGGACCACAGGGAGACGGGGGGGGGGTGGGGGGGTTATCTTAAGGACCAGTAGCCAGGGAAATTGATAATGGCTACAAGGTAATTTACTGGAGACTTGTGCATCCCTCCACTGCTTCTACCCTTGCCTCTCGTTCTGATTACAGCCCATGTAATGTTCTAATGAATCTGCAGGTGTGTGTCTGTAGGGGAGGGGCACAAAGGTAGGGAACGGGGGTTGTGCATGTATGTCTACGTATATATGGGTGTGAGCATGCACCGTTTGCTTGCACCTATGTATGTTTGTTCGCTTGTGTCACTCCAGATCATGCCTGTTTTCCGCGAGAGAAGATTGATCGCATCTCAAGGCCGTGTCAGGATCTCTCGAGTGCATAGTTGTCTCAGTGTTTCTGAAATATGAATATGATATGAAAAGCAATTAGATTAGCCCTCAGCAATATTAAAGATAGATGCCACTCACAGACACAATGCTCCACTGATACTTCCAAGTTGTCACTGCAGTTCTGTCTTCCAGCTGGGTGTGTAGAGGATGGAAGCTGCGGCCAAACATGCTCATCTCCCTCTCAGACTGCTGATAAGGTCCAGGAACTGCCTCTAGTTGTGCTGGTGCCTCCAGTCACACACTCACATGTACGCATAAACACACACGTTCACTCACATGAGCCATTTACACAAACCTCCTGGGGAAATGGGCCAGACCATAAAGGCCTTGATGCGACCAGAGAGTAAACATCCCCACAGTATTGCTGTATCAGTCTGTGTGTGTGTGTGTATGTTTACATGTGTTTGTGTGGTTTTCAGATAACACTTTGGGATGCCATTGTAGGTGAGCGAGGAGTATCTGGCCCCATGGGACAGTGACATCATATTGCCTTTTCAATGCACGTTGCGCAGACTATATAATGGAAAAGGCGAGAAATCTTTGTGGTTACGTTTCCTTCACCTTTTCTCCCCACAGGAAAAGGAGGGTGTTGAAGCTGTGTCTGTAGGGGCCATTCTCTCCGAATACCAGAGGATCCGTGTGGAAAACGTGTACGTTGAAGAAACACCCACCCTTATTATCCAGAATACACTTAGTAACTAAAGTGCACACACCCTCTGCGTTTAGGCCTCTGAACTCGAATGACGCACACTCTGTGGTCCACTGAAGGAAAAGAGTACATCCTCTGTAGTCTTTACCTCACTGTGTGTTCCAAACTTGGACTGAGTTTTGTTTAAACACATACACACACACACACACACACACACACATATACACATTGAGTTTTGTTTATGCCATTTTATTTAGACTAGCTCTGTTTTTATGGAGCACTGATTTCAAGAAAAGGAAAGAAACTGATAGTTTCATAACTGTCATGTGATTTTGTTCATAGAAGAAATGCACTCTCCCATTATGGGTGAAACATAGCAGGCTTATTGGCAGAAAGATGAGATGGTTTCCTTGTGACACAGATAGCCATATGTCTTTCTTATTCTTGTTCTTGTTTTATTCTTTCTGTCTGTTTTTCTTTGCCTTCCGTCCTCTCTCTTTGTTCTCCTGTGTTCTAAACTTATACAGACTGGACACATTGCAGGACAAAAGCTCTCTTCTTATTAACAAATCCTGCTGTCAGTCAGCTATTGTTTTCCCTCACTAGATGCATACACATAAACATCTCAGGCATTTCTTGAGCAGTAGACATTTGTGTGCAGACTTTTTGGCTCCAGTTACCTGCTGTGGATGAGTTTATGTGACAAGCCACAGCTTAAGATAGAGTTTTTGTGTTTGTCTTGTCTTTGAATAAAGCCACTGGCAGATGTGGCAGGTGGGAGCATGTTCTATGAGCCTATCAGGGTGGCAGCCTTCCCACAAATGGAAAAGTTGCCCAGCCCAGTTGGCTTTGAAGTTGTTCTGAAGCTGGCATATATTCACTATTAACCGCTTATCCTCTTTCTACAACCTACTGCTCTTCATCTGCCCTTTCACCTGTTCCCCAGATGTTTGCGGCTAGGTTTGCAGCCTCTGGCTTACCTGTGGCGCCAAGACCAAGAGTCCCTGCTCTCTGAGATGATATCATCTGACCTCCATGCTATCCTCATCAAAGTCGCCGCCTTCGGTGAGTTTGTGTCTCACTCTTTTGTGTGCAGCTGGTGAGCATTCAGATGTCCCCTCCCTTCTGTTCATGCTTTTTACTTCACTCTCTTTTTACTTTCTCTGGAGGTGCCACGTTGGTTAAGTGGTGTTTGGCATGGGGATCGGACAGACAGAATTTGGATAAGTGAAGGATAGGAGGGGTGGAAAGGGAGGTGTAACCAGAGAGAAACAGAGAGACTAGCAGAGTAATGCCCTAATCATTAATCTGTGGCTTAGCAGCGGTGTTGAGACTTGTGCCAGCGGCGAAGGTATTGAAGCAGAGAACAATATAAAAAGATAAGACGCACAGAGCGAGGAGTGGTGAGAGAAGTGCGCTGTGGTACTGAGTGGGTGGGTGGAGGAAGGGGGAGGGTTGGCAGTTGAGAAATAATCATAGGTGATTGCCCCGCACATTAATGCAACCTGTCAATAAGCGACGCATGTCCCCATTGTCTGAGAGAAACACTGCATTCTCTGCTCGTGCATAGTTCACAATACATGGTCCGTGAAGTGAAGATTAAAATCTCTCATTTGCGTTCTTCAACTGCTTCAGCACTGATGGTAGAGGTTAATGTGGTGTCACCTGCTCTCTACCTGCCTGTTTTGGAGCCCGAGGATAGGAAGATCAGATTACTGAATAACAGGAGAGAGTAAAAAAAAAAAAGTTTTCTTTTTCTTTTCTCGGGTACATGATGTTAAGATCCCTACCTGCATCTACTTGACAGTGCAGCCGGATCCCTTTTGACAGTGTCGGTGATAAATGATAATTACAGCTAAAAATGGTTCTTTTTACACTCAAACTACTCATGGTGAAAGATCATCATGTAGACACTGTTTACGTGCTGTTAAGTGCTTGTTGTCACCTTTGGTAGCAATCAGTCGAAAAGGGGTCCATGGCTGACTGATGACCTGCAGAGGTGAGCAGCACGTTCAAGACACTCTGCATGGCTTTCAACGCTGCTCAAATAACCTCTCATGGAATGCACTTGTCAAGCCATTTATCTTTGGGGCTTTATTTGCCGGACCCATTTCTCATTTTTAATGGTCGCATGATAAAGGACTTTTTGGTAATAAGTAATACTACTTGTCAGATGTCCGTCAGAAGAGAGATGAGGTCAGAATCAATGTTCTCAAGACTTTCCCCCCTGGTATTCTGTGGGATGTTAATTATTGTTTACCAGTGAAAATTAAGTTTTATTTCCATTACGTTTGAAACCAGATACGATCTAAGTCTGTATTTAACATTAATTGATCAATCATAATGTCAAATTACCCTCCTGGAATAAAAACCGCACCTTAAAGACCTCAGTCACCTTGTAAGCTTTCTTCTCTAAACACAACTTTG